TCTCCATCTTTAATAGTGCTTTAAATACATACCTCTTACCTGCTGCTGACCTCTATCTCGCACTGCCTTTGTGTTCTTTACTGTATGTTTAAAAGGCACTGGTATATGTCTTTAAATCAATCATATATTCTTCACTTTTTGTTTTCAGGACACACGCCTATGTGAACACTGTGGAAAGAACAGAGTCATGATAATCAGGTACTCCGAGGGATACGGAACGGAGGTAATGTGTGTTTCTTTTGACATGCGTGTGCGTGTAACTATTTATTTCAGACATTTTCAGACCTTTATGTGTCTGAATATATTTATGTTACATTTTCATTTAGCAGGCAGCTATGGTTTCAAGGTTGCATCATGTGAGGCATACGTGAGGCATTTATGTTCCCTGCCCCAAAAAAACAACAACTCAGCAGACAAAATATTTTACATACATAATACAATCTATTCCTGAACTAGATTGTATGACACTTGTGCTTCCACTGTTTTATTTAAAGTAACAGTTTAACATTTTTTGTTTGTGTAATATGAAGCTACAGCTATAGGGACTGAAATGGGCTTAGCCACGAAAGACTACATAACCCTCTGGTTAAAAGAGCATAATCAAAAGAGAGATACAGTGTTAATTGAGCATTAGAGTTCTTGGTAGGTATTTTTATTACATGTTTTACTTTATCATTTTTAGGCTAGTTGTTACCCCTTCTGTGCAGTCTTTATGCTAAGCTAAGCTAACTGTCCTGCAGCCAAAATGATAAGGTGATAAGAAAAAATGTTTGCTTAAAATAGTGCTCTAAGATACTTCGACACATCAACAATTGTAGCGTTGGGCTGTCACGATATCATATTTTCACTACACGATTATCATGACTCAGTCTTTGTATTTACGAATCAAAATAAAATCCGTAGGAAGTGCCAGATTCGGTGTCTCTAAACTCATTAGTCATGTGTTGAGGAGTCAGCGGATTCATGCATAATAAAAATGGTGATTATAAAAAAGTGACGCATGAGTACACGCACTCACACAAATGCCATCATCAAGTGTTGTTATTTTTGGTTTACAGAAAGTGGCGGTCAGTGATGATTCACTTTTACTCATCTGGGTTTCATCGAAAGACGACAAAATAAAAGCCCCAAAACTGTAGATGTGGTGGTTGAATTGATCCATAATTAGTGCTTGTGATACTTTACCCAACGTCATTAAATTAGCATATCATAAGTTTAACATGAATGTATTTTTTAAAACTGTCATTTTTGTCCCATACTTGATATTCTAGTTGTTAAATGTGTCATTCCTGTGCAGGAGGAGTGTGTGTTGTCAGACCCTCAGGGGGAGAGTGATGCAGATGCTGATATAGAGGACACAGATTGCAGGTTTGATATGCACACACACTTTCATATCCACACACAGTACATCTTTGCTTGTAGTTCTCTGACCTTGTGCCTTTAACCTGATTGGTTCAGACTGCAGGAGCCAGGTTCTCTGCAGCGAATCAGCTCGCGCAGACGAAAGCGTCCACGGGTAGCGCGGCAAGACACCACGGAGAGCGAGGACGACGGGGGGCGGAGCCACCAAACACACCGCTGGAACCTCAGGCTCAGCCCTGACAGAGCAGACAGCCGGACCATACTGGAGGTAGAAAACACAGCAATGTGAATTCTAATTAGTCGTGTTTCTGTACATCTGTTCACCAAATTATACAACACAACACAGAGGTTTGAGAAAAGAGATATTGTCACAGCTGTAGATTCAGCTTTTAAACAGGGTTGCAGTGACAATATCCCATAGACTTTCCCTATTTGGATCAATTAAAGGAGACATACATTGCTCAAATGTATGGTGATAATATTTGTTGGGGTTTCAACAAGAACATATTTGAATGGTTAAATGTTGAAAAAACACATTCTTTTTCTCATACTGTCCATCTGAATATACCTGTATTTACCCTCTATCTGAAACACTCAGTTTTAGCGCCTGTCTCTTTAAGACCCCCAAAAAACGGATTGATCAGCGTTTTTCAGGTCTTCCAAACTGTCTCAAATCGAATTATAGAGTCCTACAATATGTGATATGTGATGATAACTTACTGTACTTATAAACATGTAATGTACACCAATGGCTTCTTGGTACTTTTTTTGTAATTTGTGTGATTTATTTCCTCTTTCTTAGCAGATTAGAATAAGTCAAACAGAAGTGGCAGGAGTTTATCTGGATGGATGGAAATTAGCACTGAATGAGCACTTTAACAGAATGGGAAATAAGTTGTTTCAGCTTGTTTACCATATATGTTATTGTTGTTATTGTTATTATCATCATGTGTCGCTTTCCACCTTCTTCTCCAGTAGGACTCAGATGAGGGTGTTGCACTTTTCTTTTCTTTTTCTTTTCCTTATACATGTGATGTTTTGGTGTTTTGTTTCTTTCCGTTAACCGTCAAGTGGGAAATACGTTTTTTTTTTGTGTGTGTTTCTCTTAGTATCCTAAGATACTGTTATGTGTGGCTGTGAAAAAAAAAAAAATATATATTATTATGAAGGGCAGACCATCTATTTGTATTTATTTGTTTTTTTTAGAAAGGGGCAGGTCACATAAGATTATATTCTTCTCCCTGCTCCTTTTCGCTAAATGGTAGAGTCATGTTTTGTGGCAATTATTGTACATTTGGTTTTGCGTACCATGAGCGGGACAAATAAAAATGAAATGAAATATCACCACTGCTGAGGAATCACTGAACTAGTGCTGAAAACAATTGGACTCTTTTGATTATCACAACAATATATTTGTGTCAGTAGCCCTTTGAAATGTGCATTGTGTTTTAAGCTTTTCCCCCCTACAATAACAACTCTCACATCTTTGTCTTCCAGGAGAGCATATCACAGGTCAGGCCACTGGTCATCTGCCGGCCGAACGTCGAGAGGCAACAGACTCCGGGCGAACTTCCCCGAGGCTCCAAATGTCTGATGTCTCTTTGGCCAGCTTCCCTCTCTCTCCCTCTCACCCTCCTCCTCCTGCTGCCTCTCTCCCTCTCTCTCGTCATTGTGATCGTGTCTTTCCTTCTGCCGTGGGCTCGCGCTTGACCTCACCTTTCTGTTTCAAGAGAATGATTACATTACAGAAAAACCTACCGCCAACTCAGAAAAGGCAGTGAATGGCACAACATGGGCACACAAACATGGTGCTTTAGAAATGAAATCGACTTTTGGGTGTAGTTGGCCTTTTGGCTACATTCAATCCAGAAAAGCACGGGGTAAAATACTTTCATTCTGAGCCACTTTAGGTACATTTACAGCAGAATCTGTTTCTGACGCAAACGATAAACTCAGTGCTTTCTTTTGCCACATGAAAATCCCACCTTCCGTGTCACTTTCTCACCCCCTCGTTTGTAAAAATAGACCTCTCGTCTCGCTCCTTGTAATAACGAGCCACGGGAGTGATAAGCGGGGAGGGAAGGGTTTCATGGCTGCACAGGTAGATTATAAAGGGAGTCATTAGGAACATAGGAACAAGATGATGCTGCTGAACTATGCAAATGGTATGTTCCTACTGCAACATCTCCTATTTCTTTGGCACTACCATCACCTTCTTGACCCTTTACCTTTTCTCTTTGAAATACAGGGAGTTATGGTTCTAAAATTGAGCATGACCCCATCTTAAAAAGCAATAGCAGATGAGATCTGATATCATTTTTGAAACGATGGCTTAAGTGTTATTTTACTTAAAAACAGGTGGATCCTCTTTCTTCTTTCTGGCTGTACTTTTGTGTTTCCTTGTAAAATAAGCTGACCTCAAAAGAAAACGTGATGGGATCTTAATTATGTTATTTAAACACTTAAAACACAGTCTTACCGTTGATTGCTATTGTGTTTGATAATGTTTATGTTATATCTATATTTATGAGTTATTATTTAAGAAGAAATTGACAATCAGTCACACTACTTTTTCAAGATGAAATTATTGGAAAACCTGTGGCATTTCTGTACTGTATATGTTTAAAGTTATGTTGTTATTGTATGTATTTAAACTTCATACCAAAGTAGATTTGCTTGCATCCTTGTAGAGAAATATGAAATCCCAATTAAGATCAGGTATGAGCTCATTTGATTGGTGTTCAACAACCGTTTATCCAGCATTTAATGTTGCCTGTTTTAGCCGGGTTATCTGTGTGATCACCTCTGTGTTCTTTGAGCCATAGAAATTCAATAAAACTAAATTGTATTTTGACAAAAAGAGCTTCCTGTGTGTATATAACAGCAGTGTGAAACAGCAGGGTAGTAATTTTGAGCTACAATTTGTCTTTACAGATTTTATAAGAAAAATCGAGCTCATTCCAATAGAAAATGACGTCCACACAACATTCGTGTTAGGTGAAGAAGGATTCAGTTAAAAAAAACAACAGTTTGATAAATACACTGACATCTGAATAAAACACCCACACAAAACATGGCCCCATTGTGTAAAGGCCTTTAATTGGTAAGATTTAGAGATGCTAGTAGAAATACCCGAGGTCAGAGCAAAGGTTAGGATCTCGGTCTTTATCCTCAACTAAGCTAGCATAGCATACCCAGATAGCAAAAGATATTAATTCAACATTGGATTTTGGTTAGATTGGTTATTTTTGGTTGAGGTTGAAAAATCAATGTTGATTCGATGTGTTTTTACAAATACCATTTCAACGTTTGAAAAAATGTTGTTGAATCAATGTAATATAGATGCCGGTTTTTCAACGTTGAAATTCCCTACATTGAATTGACATTGTTTCAACGTGTGGCGCTATCCCCTCTCGGGCGAGATCATGATCCAGCGTCGGAGGCGGGGTCTGGTTCTTTCCTATGAGAGCTGCTGTGCATGAAGACAAAATGGCCCAAGTTTTGAGAGAGCGAAACGTCACAGATTACCCGTCATGCCTGTTGCACGTTGCACGTTGCACTTAATCTTGAAAGCACGTTGGTCACGTGAAAGAGCGAAAGAGGGTGTGGAGGAAGGCAGGCAGTTCAGTTGTCGTCAAGCCGCCTGAAGAGAAGAGACAGATATCACAAATCGGTAAGAAATGTAACGTGACCGTTGTGCATGCCTACTCTATATGTTCACCTCAGTTACACCCTGTTATGTTTTTTTAGGCTATTCAGAGCGCAAAAGTGGGAACTAATTACTTATAATAATATATATCATCAACGAATTTAACGTCGTTCATCCCATGACGCAGTTGATATTTTATTGCCCTGACTAGCACCTAGCTAACGCAGCGCTAGCTAACATAATCTGACATTAAACTCTACCATCCTACAGAAATTACATAAAGTGTCCACTGATGCAGTCAAGCTAAAGCATTATTTAGGATATTTGGGTGAAATTGTGCATATTTTTTGTTATAATATAGCCTATATCATAAATTAATTAAACAGTTCATCGCATGACGCAGTTGATATTTTCTTGCCCTGGCTAGCACCTAGCTAACGCAGCAGATACACTAGCTAACACAATCTGACATTAAACTCTACCATCCTACTAGGGATGCCAGCGATTAATCTATTATTCGTTACAGTCTCCATAATCGAAGATTATTTTTAAAATTCGATTTTATTTATATATTTTTTTATTATTTATGTTTTTTTGTTTTTTTTCTGGCTTAGTTTCAACCAAAATATAGACTAATAATAGTAATAGTATTAATAATTGTAAATGGCCATTGGTCACAACACCAGTTTTGACTGTAAAACTTGGAGGAAGCCAGCAGCGCAGACTGCTGCTGCAGCTTGCTACACACCGACCCCGCCGATTTTGATCATGGTCAGTTTCTGGCATCCCTACATCCTACAGAAATTACATCAAAGTTGGTCTGATACAGTCAAGCTAAAGCATCATATAGGATATTTGGGTAAAATGTATGTCCTAGGGGTCCTGGACTCCTGGTTGAAGACCCATGGAATAAAACGTGTAATTCTAGGGAATTTCGTCAGTACAGTTATATTTGCATTGCACCAGGAGGCTGATATATATTTGTACTGTTAGTTTATGCATACTGATTTTTAATCTGCTTTGTTTTCCTCCATTTTCAGGATTATACTACAAGACGAGTCAAGGGGATCACTGCAATACACAAGGCCAAGTAAAGTAATTATAGCAGTGCCACCTCTCTTTACCTAAGATGGCTTCTTATTGGTCTAAAAGACGTAGAGTCATCAGAACTGTAAGGGACATGGAGAAAGATATCCTTAAGGAATACGAGGAAACTCTTTATAATAACAAGTCACATTTAGACCCCTGTGTGAATAGGGAACCACCCTTCAGAATCTCACACGTTTCCCAACTAGATACACCACTAGCTTCCCATGTACACATGGAAAATGATCATACTGATGGTAGTTTAGCTGGAGATGATGACGTTGAATCAGATCATGTACAAATGGGAAATGATCATACTGATGGTAGTGTGGCTGGGAATGTTGATTCAGATTCTGACTCCGACAGCCATGACGAGCATCAGCCTAGTCAGGATCTGCTTATGAGGAGCCTAAGATATTGGGCAACATCCTACTCAATCAATCTGGTTGCTTTGTCTGCTCTGCTGTCCATCTTAAAGCTTTTTCACCCTATGCTCCCTAAGGATGGAAGAACTCTGCTTAGAACACAACATGATGTTGCAACCACTCAAATGCAAGGTGGCGAGTACTACCATTTTGGATTGGTGCAAGGGATACTTTCACGATTGAAATGTTTGAGTTTACCAGTGAGCCTCAGAACTCTTACTTTACAGTTCAACATAGATGGTCTCCCTCTCTTTAAGAGTTCAAGACTTCAATTCTGGCCTATACTTGCAATTCTGAAATGTGATTATACTAAGTCCCCATTTATTGTCGGTATCTTTTGTGCTTTAAGCAAGCCCAAGTGTGTTGTTGAGTATCTGCAGCAATTTATTAGCGACCTTAAAAATGTACTGGCTAATGGCGTTGTTCATAATGGTAACCGATTGAAAGTACTGGTTTCCTCATTTGTGTGTGATGCTCCAGCCAGAGCCTACGTTAAGAATATCAAGTCACATAATGGCTATTCAGGGTGTGACAAGTGTGATCAACATGGTGTGTGGAGGAAGAAAATGACTTATCCTGAAACAAATGTCAGGCTCAGGACAGACTCAAGTTATTGTGATATGATTGATGAAGAACATCACTTGAAACAGACACTCAGTCCTTTAACAGGGACAGTAAAGATGGTTTCTTCATTCCCAATAGATTATATGCACCTCTGTTGTCTTGGTGTGATGAGAAAACTGTTGAATATGTGGTTAAAGGGCAATCTAGCCACTAGGCTTCCTTCACAAACTGTTAACAGTATATCAAGCAAACTGCTGGGGTTACATTCCCACACCCCTTGTGAATTCAATCGCAAGCCAAGGGGTTTGAATGAGCTGGATCGTTGGAAAGCTACAGAGCTCCGATCCTTCATACTGTACTGGGGCCCTGTAGTTCTGAAGGATTGCCTTCCCAGTGAGATTTATGACAACTTTATGTTGTTTTCAGTGGCCATGTATTTGTTTTTGTCTCCTGGAATTTCTGGCCAAAAGGTTGAATTAGCGCATAGATTGATGATTTCCTTTGTGGAACACTTTGGACAGTTGTATGGCAGGGATCAGATTGTGTTCAGTGTACACCAGCTTATACATTTAGCCGATGAATACAAACAATTTGGACCTTTAGATAATGTTTCAGGATTCCCTTTTGAGAATTATCTTGGCCAAATAAAGCATCTTTTACGCAAGCCACACCAACCTCTACAACAGGTGGTCAAAAGGTTGTCAGAACAGCCACGTTGTGAGGTTCCATTACCAACAGATGAACCAGTCTTACAGAAAATCCACACTGATGGTCCACTCCCTCAACATTTCGGTGTTGCTGTACAGTACACAAAGGTCTCCAGTAGTCGTTTTACTTTGTCTACAAAGCAGGGGGATAATTGTATTGAGGTGGGACATAGTATTGCAGTAGTGCAGAATATAGTCCAGGAAGAAGATGAGGTATATGTGATCTACAAAAGGTTCAGACACCAAGAATCATATTACACTTATCCCTGCGAGTCCTCATGCATAGGTACATACAAGGTTAGAGAGTTGTGTGACAATATCGGGGTTGGTAAACTTGGATGTATCAAACGTAAATGTGTTCTGTATCCAGAGTCAGAAGGAAATGGCCTCATAGCTATTCCAATAGCTCATATGCAGTAGCATACCGCTCATACTGCTGGGCGAGTAAATGACATCTTATGATTTATGAGCAGGTTTTTTTTTAATCATTTACATTATTTCCTTTATTGTATACAGAATGGAAAGGGAGGTGGTGCTTTGGGCCGTTGTACTTTTTCCAAATGGCGGAGCTGCAACAGTTCTTGCCAGCTGGTTCAGTCTAAAGGAAGGTAAATTGTTATGGCCCCCAAAAAACATGTATTTGAAGGCCCTTAAAGAACACATGACGGCCCATAAAGGATGGACCACATATGCGAATGTCCGGCTCTTGATTACTTGTGGTAAGTAGTCACTGCATTACTATTGTCTATTTTCAAGTATATAGGTATCCACACGTTTTATGGATGGCAGTTTGAATGTGTGTGGTGCCATACCACATATGACATATGTGTCACAAGTGAGACTAGTCAGTAAAATGTCATCCTATTATTTTATGCTTTTTCTTTTACAGACTCATTGGAAAAGGCCAAACGATACGAAGAAAAGTATGTGAATACTGGATGTCCAACCACTGATCTGAGCTCTGAGGACGAAGCAGGTGCACGTGGGAAAAGAAGAGTAAGGTACAGTTGAATTCCTGTAGGAGGTCAGGTTCCATGTCTGGCCTGACTTTAACCCTTATCAAACAACGTCGCATTGATAAGAACCAGTATGCGTGCATAGGCAGGAACCAAAAGAACCCAACCGCTCATAAGATGCAATGGAAAAGTGGTCACAGCACTCCCAGTGTGGAGGAAGCAGGCTTAGGATGTTTACTTTGATCGCTCCCTCTTGAAATATATAATCCTTGGTTTCTGTGTAAACAATAAGTAAAAACCCCACCTCCAGTCCTGTGATAGACTAGTGTCATCTCTGTGTACCTGTACGTCAAGCGGCCTCATTCTACAGAAATGGGCCATGGGGCAAATTAGTTCAATTAATGGGAATGTTGAATGTTTCATTTTTATTTTCCAGACCAAATCCTGTGTACATGGAGTCAGATGGGGAGTCAGAAACCAGCTGTGTGAAGAGAAGATTTGCCAAGCCACCTGATGTTCATTGTCCTACAGTGCTCCCAGAATCCAGCCAGTACCCCTCAGGACCAACCCCAAATGCAAGCAGTGGTATGTCATTACTTATTAAAATGGCAGGAACAATATGTAATTGCATGTGAGCTTTAATTTACAAGCATTTAGTTCCTCCAACAATACATTCAAACATCAGTCATGTGATATGTGTTCAAAAGTTACAGCATCCATTATTACTGTCTTTTGTTCCCTTTTAGCCTCTGGAGGAAGCCACTCGGAGGATGTTCTGTCAATTCACCAGGCTGACAATGGTAAGTGAACCACTTCACACTAGGGATCGACCGATATGGCTTTTTCAAGGCCGATACCGATTATTAGTAATCAACGAGACCGATAACCGATATTTGGAACCGATATACATTTGCAGTAATATCAGAAAATCTTGGTCTCAAAATGTAGAATAACACAAACTCCAACACAACTTCTTTGAAATGCCTTTTTATGTTTGCTGAACTTTTCAACATCTTAAAACTGGTTTCCTCTCTGTACCCTGAGTAAAGTCAATGAAATAGAAATAAAATGAAAACTACTAAAACTTGTTCTGAACTTCTGATATTTGAGTCTCACTCATTTAGTAGTCCCAATTCAGCAGCACCAGATTGTGGTGCAGAAAGCAGAGTTGCTGCGAGGCTCCACTAGCAATCCCCCCCCTCACAGTTTATCCGCTGCGAGACGCTACCCTGTGTAACTGGGAAACTGATAGAATTGGATCGGGACATTGCTTGTGTACAGAGTGGTGACTGCAACCAGAGAAACGGCCGCATCAGATCCAAAGTTTTATCGGCAATTTGATTTAAAAAAAAAAAAAAAAAAAAGGCCGATAGCGATAATCTGTAAAATGCGGAATATCGGTCTGGATAATCGGTCGACCCCTACTTCACACTACTACCTCCGGGCGGACAGTATGTAAATGTGCTTTGTCCGAGTTACAGCATTCATAGTTCATGTTGTGTGTTCTCTCATTGTAGGCTTTTGTGGAAGCTATTTGGCGGAGTTGGACCAGGACCACTGTAATGATGTAAGTAAACTAATGGTGTAAAAGTCAGGCACATTCATGTGGCTGCCGATGACAATTTCAGGACACCGGAAATATGACCCAATGTTTCAGTCTCTCCGAAACGTTGGTCATATTTTCTGTATCCTGAATAAATTGTCATCGGCAGCCACTTGAGTGCACCCCTCGTTATGAAGTAGACTAATAGGCTATTATGTCTTTTATCTTTGGATCACAGGAATTATCAGCACCTTAGGTGGGAAACTATTCTTTAATTACTCACTCTGTAGCCAAGTGTGTTCATCCCTCAGGTCTCCTTTATCTAAAGTTGGAAAGTAACTATATGGGGCTAGCTAGGTGCAATTGCTATATGGTGCTCATGGATAACAACTTTAATAGTGCTCATTTGCCTTATTTAGTTATTTCTCTCTTTTTCTAGGATTGCCAACATATAACTCCAGCCCCTACCACGCTATGCCATTAGAGAAAGCAAGGAATGGTATGCATTTCTCATCTTAAATGTTGTTTTTTTTTTGGAAAATTCCCAAATTCATGTTCAATATAAAGAATGAATAGCAGCTCAGTGGCCTCGTGGTTAGTGTCCGCCCTGAGATTGGGAGGTTGTGAGTTTGATCGCCGACCGAGTCATACCAATGACTGTTAAAAATGGTACCCGATATCTCCCTGCTTGGCACTCAGTATCAAGGGTTGGATTGGGTTAAGTCCCTGCGACATACTAGCATCATGTCCAGGGGGTGTACTTGTACATCATGCTGCGGAAACAGGATATCGGCTCCTATGGGCCAATGGTTCTCATGGCTTACTTATAAACAATTAATAATGGTGTCTTGTCTTTTAGACGGCGGTGCCAGCTATGCACATGGCTCAAGATTAGCTGACTTCAGCGCACTGGGCTTGGCTCACCTGACCCCGCAGCACCCATCCCACCCCCTTCAGCTCCAGAAACACCACGGGGGAGATTATATGGAGAGGAATCAAGCAGAGTGTTGAAAGGCAAGTATCATTTTCTGAGCAGGTTCTTAACCGTACTGATGCCTTCTGAATTGAGAAACCTATCCCTTGTGACTTTCCCATCTTTTCATGTTTTTTGTCATGGTGTTAAGGCTTAAAATGTAAGCACTTAAACCTGCACTATGTAACCTTTTTGTGATTACAATGTTATTTTGTCCAATCTGTATGGTAGTGTTAATACAATATAACTTAAAATTGGGGTGGTTGATTTTGGTCTCCCTGCTCTTCTATTGAGACATTTAGATCCTTTATCTAGGTGAGACATGACCTTGGTTTGACAAAAATTATGACTTTATGGTCAATTTCTCCCCCGAGCAAGCAGGCAGGCTCTATAAACTCAGTGGTAAATATTTCAGCAGTTGTGCTGGAGACCTGTGTTCAAATCCAGGGTAAATAGGAAAGTTACATAGTGCAGCTTTAATGGTTACTGTTGGCAAACACTTATCAGTGAGTTACTTAGTGTCATTCTAAATTATTGGAAATTAAAAATCTATCCTTGAAATGTAAATTAAAACCTTTATTTTTTTAATTTTCAAGACATTGCTGCCATGACAACCACGAAGATGCTTACCGAGCTATGTATGGAGGTGAAGCAGATCTCACGTGACATTAACTTTATAAAGACGGAACTTGCTAAACTAAACATTCATGGAGCTGGACCAGAGTCACAAGAAGACAACTTCCCCATAATGCTTCCACTCACCAACGAGGAGAAGTTTGATGAGACTGAAGCTGCTTTGAGGGAGGACGCAGTCCGTCGAAAGATGGTGAACAATTTTTACACAAAGCATTTTCTCTATAATCTGTCGAGGCTTCTAATATTTTCTGTATGCATTTGCAGGTATCCTGTGGATCCTTATAAGTTTTAAAAGTCTTACATTTCTTGTTTGAAATCTTAAGGGCTTATGTCTGGAATTGTAGGAGTGGATGCATTACATTTCTTTTTCACTTGGATGTGTGTTTGACAGAAATATTGTAAAAATACGCCTCGCGAATCACGATAATATTTTTCTTAATCAATATTTGACAATTTCTTAGGATTGCCAATTTGGTTGTTGGCATTGTTTGTCGATTAGTTTGGACACAGTAGTGGTCTTATTTCTTCCTTAGAGGTAATACAAATGTGTTCAAATTCATTACATTTGTATTTATTTATAAATGAGAAGATGTCTATTTACATAGTACACTGTAGCACACTAATCATTTTCTCTCGTCTGTTAAGATTACCCGCCTGGCATTAGTCGGAGGGACCAACTCGGAAAATATGATCCGGCGAATGCTATCCGCTGCCATGACAAACAGTCTAGCCTGCATCTTCAACTGGGTGGGAAAGGGAGAGAAGAGGGCCTTCAAGGACACGCTGATAAAGGACTGCATGTTTGGTGAGCCTGCACCTCAAAATACTAGGTTTACTACTTTACAACAGATTTGGCAAATATTGAATTTAATTCATAAGTCTTTTACATTTCTTTCTCAAGTTGATAAGAATGGATGCAAAATGCATCCATTCTTATCCTTATCTTCATATAAGTGGTCCTCATTAATGCTCATAATAGGATGGCAGCATTTCTGTCTACTCGCTCTGCATCTCAAAGGTGGGCTGTGGACATTTCAGAAACCTGCCTACCAGTGACATTATTCCTAGCTAATTGGAAATGACCATTGATGATGTCACTGATGGGCACGTTTCTGAACTGTCCACTACCGTCCTCTGAGACACAGAGCGAGTAGACAGAAATGAGTAATAGTGTGAATCAATTATATGAAGATGTGGTTGATGGGTGAATTGCTCAATTAAGGCCGCCTGAAAACCTAGTACACTAAACAGTACACACTGGAACGCATCCATTGCAGCTTTCTTCTTCTTATTATTTCAATAAACAAAAAATGTAACTTCTTTTTTTTCAGCTGCTGCTCATCAATTTGACCGCAGGCTGACGGAATTGACATTCAGGGTTGGAGTGCAGAAGTGGCTACGTTACGCACCGGAGAGGAATGGCGGTGTACCAAGGAAAAAATAGTTAAACAGACATTGTTTAAAGTTGGGGTGTTTTCGTTCATGTTGAACTGGGGTCTTATAGATCTGAGTTTATAGTTAAGACTGCCTTTCCACCGAGTATGACAACCCTGTTTGCAGTTGCCAGGTTTTTATGTCATCTGGAGTTTCAGAGCAAATATAATTTGAACTACAGTTGATGGCCAGATCATTGTCTCTAAGGAGCTTCCTCCACTTAAAGGTCCCATGTCATGCTTTCCCGGTTATTACCCGTCCCCTTGTTGTTATGTAGCTTTTTCTGCATGTAAATGGTCTGCAGAGTCAGAAACCCTCAAAGTACACCCTGTAGCGAGTAAAACTCTAACACAGAAAAGACCTGTCTATGCTGCCCCAGAACTTCTTCCTGAGTAAAGTGACGTAACGGGCATAGTGGCGTAACACACACACTCTCACTCAGCCTTATCTTTTCTCAGCTGCGGCTCCGTGGATTTACACACACAGCCTGGCTGTGAGTGTGTGTCTGTGTGCTCAGGCTGAGTTCCTGTGTCTCGCTGATGTACAGCTGTAACGGTGGTGAACCTCAGTGATTATGTGTTACAATGGTGTTAGCAACCAGAAAATGACACCAGTAATGACAAACTGATGAGAATGCTGCGTGGGGTCTGGGTACCGTGTTGGCGGGATGTTGCGGGGCTCGCTGCTCGGCTCGAGGAGCAGACAGTGTGAGCTGGATTACTGGTGTTGTTTCCTGGTTGCTGCGTGAAGTCTGTGAGACAGCGAGACACAGAGGAACTCAGCCTGAGCACACAGACACACACTCACAGCCACGGATGAGAAAAGATAAGGCTGAGTGAGAGTGTGTGTGTCACACCACTATGCCCGTTACGTCACTTTACTGAGGAAGAAGTTCTGGGGCAGCATAGACAGGTCTTCTCTGTTAGTTTTACTCGCTACAGGGTGTACTTTGAGGGTTTGTGACTCTGCAGACCGTTTACATGCAGAAAAAGCTACATAACACACAAGGGGACGGGTGATAACCAGGAAAGCATGACATGGGACCTTAAGAGACAATGTTTTTCGTGCTTGTGGACAAAAGATGTTAAAGATGTTCATATCATTGAATCTGAATAAATAACTGAATAAGTAATGGGATCTTTTTTTGTTTGTTCATTTTAGTTTATTTTCAATGTCCGACATCAATTGCAATCTTCAGCATGACAATATCTCAATGTTGATTCAATGACTTTTTGCAATCTGATAATAACATTGTTTCAATGTATAATGCAATGCATAATATAGTTGAATCAATGTTGATCCAATTCTACATTCTTTCAATGTTGATCATATCGTAATTGAATCAAGGTTGATTCATTGTTGGGATTGGTTGAAAATTCAATGTTGTTTCAATGTTGATCATAACGTAATTGAATCAAGGTTGATTCAATGTTGGGATTGGTTGAAAATTCAATGTTGTTTCAATGCTGATCATAACGAGCACATTCACTATTGTTTCAATGTCTGACTTCAATGTTGAACACAATCTTCAGCGTGACCATATCTCAATGTTGATTCAATGACTTTTTGCTATCTGGGTATGTAACGATGTCCTTATTTAACTTGAACGCGGAAAAACGTAATCCGTAATATGTCGAAATAGAACTCACAGTTGTTGTTTTTTAGAATAAAAGTGACCCTACAGAGTTTAAAATGGGAGGAAAAGGTGAAGAGTGAAGAGAAGTGAAGTGAATGCATCATCACTTCTGCTGCTATTAAGAAGAAGAAGAAGAATATAAGAATGTCAACCCAGTCTCATGGCATTTCGTGTTCACCAACACGATTTCCCCCTTTTTTTCGTGTTGCACAGCACGATTTGAAAAGCAATTTATTTCTACTGGTAATGTGTTTCGTGCCTGCAGCACGTCTTTTTCTCCGGTCGGGTCGTGGAAGACCGGAAGCTGTGTGGTTCATAAAAACATGTTCTTACTCAATATCAAGCCGCAGTTATTGCTTTTATTTTAAATCGTATAATTTCGGACTTTTGTTGCCGTCTGTGAGGAAAATAAATGGGGCTCAGAGCCTCAGGATACTGAAATCTGTATTTTTTAAATCTTTTTTTCCTTCTAATTTGTTATTCTTTTCAAAATAACACACTGTTATTTACTCACCAATAACACACAATTATCCTTGCTTTTATTTATTGGTTTGATTCCATAATCTCGGGCTTTTTTGGCGTCCGTCAGGAACTGAATTTCAAAATAAAAATAACCGAAAACAGACGTAGGCATTTTGAGCGATTACCCAGGATCCTCAGCTAGGGTTTTAAGCTCGCTGATTGGGTGTTTGAGCCGCAATGCATGCTGGGATTTGGTGTTTATATGATATGAAATCCAGAAAATATTTTAAAATAATACCTAATTCCGAGTGCTCTTACTTTTCTCTTTGAAAGTCATCACATAACGGCATTGTAATACACGGTTCGGCTGCATTACATATTACAGATCTGCTGTAGTTCTTTATTTATAGAGCCCTGATGAGAAGACCTTTGGAAAAACTGAAGAAATGCCACCGAAACTGAATACTTGACGTGGATCATAAATATATCAACAATTAAAGAACATCTTCAATTTCTCTTCACACAATACGTCTCCTTGCAGTATCAACACTAATTCGGCTGACTTTTACATTTGATCTAATTCATAGATAGGTTATATTTACACCATAACGGTGCACAGCTGATATAAAAGGACTTGTAGTTTTTAAAGATATTACTGATTTTCTTTGAATGTAAGAATGTAAATACTGAGTCTGAAATAGTATAGCAATATGCTGTAAAATTATGTGAAAGCATGAATAAAACTACACATCTTCAGATGTTGTACATACATAAGTGTCTATACACTAATAATATAAAGTTATTATGGCTGTGTGTACCTTGTGTGCACCTCCTAGTGGTTAAAGCACGTTATTGAATTCTTGTTTTTAT